CTGAATCAGAAAGCTCAGATGAGGCTGAAATAGATCAGTTAAGTTATACGTCAGAGAGTTCGGAAACTGAGACTGAGTGTTGTGATCCTTGTAGGGAAAACAATAATTTTATAAAAGAAATTAATGATGAAAATGAAGAATTTTATAAAATTATATCTCAATTTAGAGAATCGGATATTAGTGTTTTGACTAGTAATAATATTTTAGAATTCTTGAGATCAATAAAAGACCAAGAATTAAGATCAAAGATAATTGAACAAGTTAGTAATATTCCAAGTAGTAGTAATGAATCATTAGAAATAGATAATAATCCATACACAATAGATAAAGTATATAAGATGCTTAAAGAAAAATCTAATAGGACAGAAAAAGCTCTTACCACAGTAAGTGATTTAGGAGAAGAGATTAATAATCTTAAAGAAGAGATAAAAATTTTAAAAAAGCTTAATAAAAGCTTAGATGATAGAGTCTCTAATTTAGAAAATAAGAAACAAGTAGAATCCTATAAAAATATATTAATAAGTGAAACAGGAAATGAGAATTTCTTAGGATCTTTAGATTTAATCACTTCCTTTAAATTCCATGTTATTATTAAATTATTAATAGATCATGATTATCAAATAGAATTAATAGCACTAATTGATAGTGGTGCAGATGTTAGTGTCATACAGGAAGGAATAATTCCTACTAAATATTTTGAAAAAACAACTCATGTGGTAAGACATGCTGGTGGGAAAGCATTAGACATAAATTATAAATTGTCTAAAGGATATATTTGTAATAATCAAGTTTGTATCCCTGAAAGTTTTTTAATAGCCAAAAATATAACTAGCCAAGTTATACTTGGAACTCCTTTTATAAAAAGAATTTTCCCTATTACTCATATTGATATTGATAGTATCACAGGAACGTATGATAAAAAACTTGTATCTTTTAAATTTATAACTGAACCTAATACGAAATTTATAAATGAACTTAAAGATCTTATTTTTAGGAAAAATAATCAGATTAATTTCTTAAAATTCGAAATTAACATATTTTCAATTGAAGAAGATTTAAAAAATCCTAAATTACAAGAAAAGATTAAGAAAATATATAATAATATCTCTACTGAGATTTGTAATGAACATCCTAATGCTTTTTGGGATAGGAAAAAGCATGTAATTAGCCTTCCATATGAAGATGATTTTGATGAAAAAACAATGATTAAGACAAAGGCAAGACCTTGTCAAATGAATTCTGAATATTTAGAATTATGTAAAAGAGAGATGAATATGTTATTAGAAAAAGGATTAATTACAAAATCCAATTCTCCATGGTCATGTACTGGTTTTTATGTCAATAAACATAGTGAAATAGAAAGAGGTAGACCAAGGTTAGTAATAAACTATAAACCTCTTAATAAAGTACTAAAATGGATTAGACACCCAATCCCAAATAAAAAAGATTTATTAGACAGATTGTATGATGCATTAATATTTTCTAAGTTTGATACAAAATATGGCTATTGGCAGATTCAAATTGATGAGTCAGATCAATACAAAACTGCTTTTAATGTTCCTATTGGTCATTTTGAATGGAAAGTAATGCCATTTCGATTAAAGAATGCACCTTCTGAATTTCAAAAAATCATGAATGATATTTTCATTCCTTATAGTGAACTTATCATTGTATATATTGATGATATATTAATATTTTCTAAAGATATACAATCGCATTTTGATCATTTAAACATATTTAAAAAATTAATAAAACAAAATGGATTTGTTATATCTCAGTCAAAAATATCGTTGTTTCAGACAAATGTAAGATTTTTAGGGCATAATATTGAGAAAGGAAAAATAATTCCTATTGATAGGAGTATTGAGTTTGCTTCTAAATTCCCAAATGAAATCTTAGACAAAACTCAATTACAAAGATTTTTAGGAAGTCTGAATTATATTTTACCTTATTATAAAAATTTAGCATATGATACTGCTATTTTATATGATAGATTAAAAAAGAATCCAATGCCTTGGACAAAGGAGCATACTAGGGTTGTGCAAAAAATAAAAAATAAAGTAAAAATATTACCATGTCTAGTTTTGGCAAATCCCAAATGGGAAAAGATAGTAGAAACTGATGCTTCGGATATAAGATATGGTGGGATACTTAAACAAGTATGTCCTCAGGATAAAAAAGAACAATTAGTAAGATATTATTCAGGAAAATGGACCCAGAGTCAAAAGAATTATGCCACTGTGGCTAAAGAAATTCTTGCAATAGTTAAATGTATTTTAAAATTTCAAGATGATTTATATAATCAGAAGTTCACGATTAAGACAGATTGTCAATCAGCAAAATATATGTTTAATAAGGATTTTAAACATGATGTTTCTAAGGAAATGTTTGCTAGATGGCAAGCTAATTTAGCTCCTTTTGATTTTGATATTGTATATAAGAAAGGAAAAGATAATCATCTTCATGATTTCTTATCACGTGAATATTTGCAGGATGGAGTGGAAAAATTATCGATACGTTAAACCTCGAACTATACTTCATCATCCCTATAATAATATATTAACCGAATATAATTTGCTAAAAGCAGATATTATTATGAAAGCGATCGGTTAGATCATTTTATGAGAATCAGAAGAATGCTAAATGAATGCGAGTTGGAATTTTGCCAACAATGGAACATTACAGATGATCTAGAATATGTTAATGATATGATCATCATGTTCTCTGAGAGATTAGCTCAGACAACAGGATTCCTACAGCGTTGTGAATTTCAACTATCAGTCATAACTTTATAAAATTTTTGCAGGAATTATGTATCCACCTGATCGTGGACGAAGCGGCCCTTATAGAGGTCGTGGAGGACGAGGGATAAATCCTGTTATACAACATGGGAATAAAAAGCTTATAGCTGCTGACTTTTCAAAATCCCAGGAGGAATCCTCCTCATCAAATGCTAAATTGGTTCAAATAATGGACTTTATTCAGCATGATTTTGCATTATATAAGCAGATTATGGATCAAATCCAAGAGCAACAAAGTGATACCTTTGCTGCAAAAGTAAGTGAAACTGACCAGGATGATATCAGGTCATATGAAAAAGGATCCACAAAAGAAATAATATTTCTTCTTGAAAATACTGATATTCAGTGGAAAAATGATCCCTGGGTAATATTCGAAAGATATCTATCCGAAAGGGTGATGATACCGGGTGAGTCATACAAACCCAGAAATTATTATGAGAATATTCTCAAACAAACATGTGAAATAACACATTTCCAATCTAATCAGACTACTACTGAAGTTTATAATTTCTCAAAAATTGTTATTAAAAAAATCCTATCTTCTGAAGAATGGGGAATTTCAACCCTTTCTGAAAGGGAAGTACGTAATACTCCTACTTCTCCTGCTTTGAAATTTACTTACTGGGATTACATCCAAAGTTTTTATAAAACCTTTTATTATGAAAACCCTCGAAAAAAGCATACTTGGTTCATTAAAATATGTTCCAATGTATATTCCTCACCTATACCTAATTGGTTTATCCAATGGTGGGCATTATATGGCCCAACAACAAAAATTTTGCCAGAAAACTTTTCAAAATTATATTATCAATAGTTAAAATCTTCCCCTATCATTGATAAGCTTCAACATAGTCATATCTGTGCCCCTGGAAAAATCACTTTGTTATACTTCTTTATTGAATTCTCAATTCCCTGGATTTATAAATGGGTTCCAGAGTTTGGATTTAATGAATTCCGAATTCCATGTCTTTATAAGACATATTACACCAAATTTTGGGATAAATTGACAAAAATAAATCCCAATACCAAAAAACTGGAAGGACAAGATTTGTTGGATGAAATAATCCAGAGGATAGAAGAATATACCAAGGAAAAAGGACAACTTAAAGAAAATCAAGATGAAGAAAGTCCATTTAAGCACATCACAAAAAGAATACAGCTTCAGCAAGGTGCCATAAACAAGGATGAGATAATATCCGCCTACATAAAAGAAGTCAAAGCAGATCTGATGAGAAATTTAAAAAATTTTGACAATGATAATATCTCAGAAAAATCAGATGTTTCAATGAAAAGCATTACTTCCAATGAAGAAAATTCATTTGCAGTATTAGCAGGAGAATCTCAGTCACAAGACAATGATGACGACCATGATGAATTCATCAACAATCTGTTACATCAGATCCAAGAAACAGCACAACCAGGAAAAGGAAAAGAAAAGCAGTGACAAGATAAAAAAGGAATCTCCTTTTGACAAAAGAAAAAAAGAAAAGCGGTGACAAGACAAAAGAAGGAATCTCCTTTTGACAATTGAGGCACATGGATCCCGCTAGAGTCATATCTGAAAAAGACATTCACAATAAGTGAATGGATTTCAAATCCATTTGTAAAATAGAATTTATAATTTTAGAATTCCGGGGCCTATAAATAGAGATTGATAGTTTAGTAGGAAAGGCACCGATTTCCTTACCAATTTCCCTTTCCTCTTTCTTCTCTCCTTCCTCATTGTAAAATAATTCTCAGTGTTAAGAAGTTTGGAATAAGAAGAGCCCTGCTCCCCTTTTTCCTGTAAGTATTTTTTATTTGTTTGTATTTGTAATGATAAGCTAATAGCCAGGTGGTTGGGATAAGAGGATGTTATTACAAGAATTATCAGAGCTCCGTTCCTGATGAAGGAGGGGTAATTTACTAATTAAGAGAAATTTTTGCCTAGGGTAAGAGTAATTTTGACTGGTCATGGTATTATAAGTAGGGTTAGCCCTGTTTAAAGCCGTGAGAAAGGCGTCAAGGGCGTTGATCCCAGTTTACTTATAACTACTCATATTGACGGATTTAATTACTCTGTAATCTTCCCTATTTGGCTTAAGATTTCCTGAATTAGTCTATGTCCTACTCTTTAGAGATGGTATCAAAAAATAATGAGAGATATACCGAGGATAAAGAAAAGAAATAAAATACTCCCTCTGTCTCAAAATTATTGTCTAGTTTGAGATTTTACTTTTAGTATAATTTGAACTTGAAATGAAAACTCAAACTGGATAATAATTATGGGACGGAGGGAGTATAATTATCCCATAGCCAATTTCATGTTTAACACTACTCGTGGTACTTAGTAATATTACAAAAAGATTTATAGTAGATCAAACAAAAACTCGGGTAAAATGTTATTCGCCCAAATTAATTTTTTTTAAAAAAACTATTTCCCAATTTCTAATTTGTCTTCTTCTTTATAAAACCAGTAAAATTTTGGTTTTTTGGGCGCTACAATTTCTCGTCACCATAAGCAGAAACTCTGAACCAACAAAGACCATTAGGGTTTATCACTCGTAAAGGAAAATGGCGACGGGATTAAGACTGGTAACTGAGAGAGTCGGTGATGGAGCCGGGGAGCCTATTCTCGATGCCCAAAACGGCGAGGAACTTGTCCACGTACAACCATCTGTCTCCATCGCCCTCGGCAACCGCCCTCTGGAGTCCCCTGGAACCCTTTACATCTCCTCCAAGTAAATTACTTGCTCACGCCATCTGAATTTAATGGTTTTTTTTTTTCTGTTTAATTACTTGCGTGTTGAAATATGAATGCATATTTGTGCTCGAATTGTAGGCAAGTGGTGTGGTTGAGCGACGTTGACAGAACAAAGGGCTATGCCGTTGATTTCTTGTCCGTGTCTCTTCATGCTGTTTCTCGCGATCCAGAGGCCTATCCATCACCTTGCATTTACACTCAGGTACTCTTACAGTTGATTTTTCTGTTAATTTTGCAAATTGGGGTTTAGGGTTTAAGGCTTTACTGTGGCTAATTTGAAGTGGGGTTGCCGTATTTCTACCATTTTTATTGTTTCTAAACGAGGAGTCGTTTACCGAAAATCTGGAATTATTGTGTTAATTTACTTGGTTCTTTAACCTAATAGAGGGGTGTTCATGAGCCCTGCACTGATATTGCAAAATGTGAAATTTTGCTTTTGTGGACTGGATATGTAGCTTATGAGCTGTGGATCTATGGGTGGTTACTGATCCATGTGATAATTGATTTAGTTTCATAACTTTTGATACATTAGATTTGCTATTTTAGGTTTATTTATGCTAATTTATATCTATGGTAATGGTGAATATGGTTGATTTTAATACATATTGCGTGCTAGGATATAAGGTCTGTCATTGACTTTGAAAGAAAGGAAGATATATGGGGACTGAACTTGTTGGTTTTGAGTGTAGGATCATGTACATTTCATTACACTCTGTTTCCTTTTCTCCCTGTTTGCTATGAAGTTCTTCTTTTTGTAATTGTATCCTCTGTTAGTTTTGTCTGGAGAGTGGAGACTGCTTCATTGGAATATCTATCAGCTTATTATCAATCAATTGCTGGTCATATATGATGCAGCATCCTAGTTTCATCCAGGACTTGTAGGAATTATTATTGTCTTGTTTTGCAGATTGAGACTGGTGTTGAGGATGATGAATCAGAGTCTTCAGATTCTGAAAATAATGAGACCCTGGACTTGTCAAAGATCACTGAGATGAGACTTGTCCCATCAGACCCTGATCAGTGTATGTACTTTTTGCTTTTTCTTGGAGCTACTTTCATTTTTAAGATGCACTATTTGTAATAAGTTTTCCAAACTTATGCTTTTTTTGGTGTTTCCTTCCTTTTGAACAGTGGATACGCTGTTTGAGATATTCTGTGATTGCGCTGAGTTGAATCCTGAGCCTGTTGACGGTACTTACCTGTTCAATCATTGAAATGTTGTTTAATTTTTTGATTGCATCTGGATATATTATGTTTCAACAAACTAATGAGTTTTGATGTTAAAATCTCTAGAGGAAGATGGAGAACATAATTGGGTATTCAGTGCAGATAACCTGGTTACCGAAAGTGGAGGTATGGATTTGACGAAATCTTTTGTGGTGCTTCTTCCAGAGATTGGTGCATTTAGTTATAATTTCATCTGCTTTATGCTTACTAACCTTTTAATCTAATCTGTTTCTTTAGATGGAGAGGAGTCTGAATGGATCTCACAAAACTCAGTTCCCACAATTGGCCATTCTAATGGGGATCATGACTTAGCAAATACAGTCCTTCAGGTATTACTCTGGGCTTTGCGTTTTTATGAGCAAACTTTTTCTCCAACAAGATAGGTTATCTGATTTTACTGCAGAATGTAACTGCACATTTTCCTGAATCGATGTGATGCTTCTTATCTATCGAAGTCTTTGAATTAAGTGTAGTAGTGACCATTGAGTTGTGTTACCTTGGGGCCTTTGTCTCCTCTTTCTTCAAAAGTCATAAATAGTCGAAGCAATTGCTTGGAGGAACTGTCACTTAAGTTTGTATGGTAAAAGTTTGTAAAGATTGCATTTTCACCTTGGAGTCTTGGACTTGTGTGTTCTCCAGAAAGCATTTTCAATCAGGTTTTGAACCATATACTTTATAGACAAGTGTAGTTTTATTGTTTAACTGACCTAATCCATATTTGCGAATAGTAATGATAAAAGGCTTGCTAAAATTCGAGTAGATTGCATAGTGAATTGTGTGCCACATTCATGTTGATAATTAATCTGTTTGATAATCTTTTCGTATGAATTTGTTTCATAATTTTATTGTTTCATTGGCCTAATCCTGGTTTGTGAATAGTAATGGAAAATGCTTGTGAAAATTGCAGTAAATTGCATAGAGATTGATGTGCCGTACCCAATCTGTTTGTTTTTTGTAATCTTTTAGTATGTATTTGTCTAATCAGTGACCAGTCAGGTGAGAATCCACTTCTTGCTTTTCAGTATGCCTATCCTTCTCACATGTGAGCTAAGCCCCATTTTTATTGTGCGACTGCTTAGCCACTGAGCTAATTCATCCCACTGGGATGATCATTTTCCCACTGGAATGCTTAGATGACCATATGTCTGGGACTTCTAGTTGTGTCACATTGAACCTTCAGTAGGAAACTAACATCTCATAAACTTTGCAGCTTCAAATTAATGATCAACGGTTCGAAGATGCAGAAGAGATGGAGAGTGAATAAAGATGACTACAGCCTATCGGATACTTGCTGGAACAGGGACAGACTCACAACTTCGAGAGATATCTTAGTTGATTTTATGAACGGGAATGATGCTAGAATCAATTTAGACATGAAGTTTTCACCAAAAGCCATTGCATTAACTTTGTATTAGGTGGGTGGATATTTGTGGTAAAGTAATCACTCTTACTCTAAAACTGCCATAGGCTCCAGACCTTCGTGTAAGGTGAAAAACATGTGTCATTTAGCATCAGTGTGATTAAGCGTAAATATTTATGTGTTCTCACTTTTTGAGAAGTTTCGTGACTTTTCATCCTTTTGAGGCATCTATATTTTCACCATTGAAAATCAATATTTTACCTTTGCGGAGGATTCATTCTTTCATTCATTGACGCTAAATTGCAAATTGGGGAGGTATGGAGAGAGAATGAGATATTTCTAAGTTTATAGTACCTTTCTTCCTCGCAATATAAGGATCCCAAGATACAATGTGCTCCTTCAAAAGAAAAAATAAATAAATAAATTGAGAAAGGGGGTGGTAGACATCAAAAAAAATTGCAGTAGGGATGAAAAATGGAGTACGAAAAACTTTTATTATTGTTACTAACAAATATGAAATATTTGATTTGATTTGATTGAATATTCACAATTAATATGTATTATTTTATTCACGATAAAAAAATATAACTATGTAATATTTAGCATTAATGATAGGTGATTCATTTCCCACAGTTTAATCCCCTAGTTCTTGTATAAATAAGGAGCTCATTCATACTTCGAATATATTTAAATACAAGTCTTTTATCTCTCTCTACTCTCTTGTCTATCTTCTTTGTTCTTATTCTTAGTCTCATATTAGTAGTCTAGCATTAATTTTACAATACGTTATCCGCACGAGACTCTAGTCAAAAAGAGTTTCTACCATCGCCCGAAGTTAGTGCGTATTGATTCTGAAGGCCTAAAGGCTCAATGAATGTTTTAATTCTACCACCACCTGAAGTTGGTGCGTATTGATTATGAATGCCTAAAGCCTCAGTGAATATTTTAAACCTAAAGCGCCTGAAGCACAGTGGCCTCAAGTTAATTCAAGATCTCAGTTTAGGCTTGTCAATTCAAAATTGAGAAAGCGAATTCGGCAATTAAAAATCATACTATTTGATTTTTATTGAGATTATTTGAGTGACATATGATTTTATTAGTCAACGAGTTCTTAGACAAAACCCATCTATGATTTTTTTTCATTATTTTGCTTTGGTTTTGGTTTCTAATTCCATAAACTAAATTACCTGGTTTGTTATGGCCTAATCTCGTTAATATCAATGCATTATTCGATGTTATGATGCATATTATTATACTCTAGGAAAAGTAAAAGAAAAATGGAGGAAATTAATAATGGAGTTTTTGTTTTTTTTTTGTTTTGGTTCCATCCAAACCTTTTAAAGTAATTATACCATTTTAGTTCAAAACATATTTACTTAGTGTTGGTGTCCTTTTCCTAAAAGAAAATTATTTGAAAAGCAAATTGTCGCTATGCTGTAGTAATTTGCTATGTATGTCGACAAGAATAAATGTTTTTATGTTTTCACTGATAATATGCATAACGTTGAAAATTTTTGAAAAAAATTATTATTCCAAATTCTTCACTGATGATAGCAGTTTATTATTTTCTTTGTGGTATATACTATTATTGTTTTGTGAAGAAATGTCAACCTTAGTTTGGAATTTTTCACTTCCTGAAGTAAGTGAACAATTAATATATATATATATATATATATAATTTTTCACCCGAAGTGAAAGATTAATGATAACAAAACAAAGTTGCTACTGAAGTAGCAATGTTAACCATATTAAATTGCTCCAGTTGTAGCATTATAGCGAAATATCTAATGAAATCTTATAAATTGATTTCTTTCTATTCCTTGAAATGAGTGGGCGATAAATTATTTCGAGTCAAATTATAGACATTAAATCTGCAGCAATTATGTATAATATGCAATTCTTCACCTAAAGTCGGAGAGTTAATTTGAAGACATGTTCAATTTAGATATGGTCCATTTCCTGAGGTAAATGTAACGATCATGCAATAATGATAGTGGTAATTCTAGCAAATACACTATTAACCACCTGAAGTTGAAAAAATAGTGAAAACACTACTATCCATCTGAAGTTGAAAAGTAGTATATTGCAAATGCTATCTTTATGGCATAGAAAACCATTAGGTTCACATGATTTGTATACCCACAATTATCTTATTGATATCTTCAATATATTATTGAGAGTAGACGAATTCATTAGTCCTGCCGACAATGAATTAACAAATCATAATTCGATATATGTTAAATTTTTTGTTAAACACCCTGAAGGTGATTTAAAAAATTTAGAGATAAAAATCTCCAATATGTCAAACACCTAAAGGTACTGCAATCTTTTAATCACTATAGTAATGATATTATTTTATTGACATTTCTATCTATATGTTTAGAAGAATAAAAATCTGAATTTGTTAACGGTAAAAGTATGCCTGAAGCATAGTGCAACTTCGTTGGATATTGTAGATTTTATTAATCGCCATGAAGATGATGCTAGTCAATGATAAACATGATCAATTAAATGCTCAAGTAGAGCATATGCCACTGAATTGTTTTTGTAAAGGTAGATGAAAATCTTCGTAGAGTATAATTACTCCGGAGAATGAAAACAAATAAATGCTCCTGAAGAGCAAATATAATGAGTTCATTATTGCCTTTGCAAGAGCAACAGTAAACAAACTTGGGTCCTAAAAGAGCAAGAGAATATTGAAGGAAAAAGTGCATTGAGATACATTATATTCTCCAAGGTATCAAAGAAGAATATAAACAGCTCTACCAACACAACTATTTGGGATTTCAAAATTCATTGTTGTCTCCATCAGAGCAACAATACACTTTGCTTTTAAAAGAGCAAGAACACTTTGGTAGAATGAAGTGAAAATAACTAAATAACTAATACTCATCAGAGTAAACACTCATGTAGAGCAAAATTATTCTTATATATTTGAATAATTAATTCACTATTTTCTCCAGAAGAGAAATTCTAAAATTTGGCATAACTACTTAAGCCATTCAAGAAGAAATAATAAAGTTTATATGTTTTAAATTTGGAGAACCAAGAGTTTCTCCCAACAAATTAGATTATCAATCGATGTGTCGATGAGATGACTACATGTATGGTTCTTGTTAACTTGCAACCTGAAGTTTGCAGAAATTTTATTATGGAGTTAAATTGGTAACTTGCAGATTTTCATGTTCTGCTCTTATGAGTATTTTGATTTGACAATTGTGATGAATGTATGACTCAATACCAGAATGATAGAAGTTGAAGATTGAGTGCCTATAAGAGTAACAATGAAGCGGTCCAGTAGAATCGTTTATTGCATTACCTCATGTATAATCGAGAAAGTGTTAAAACACAAAAGGCACCAATTATATGCAAAAGACCAAACATGTCGTTATAAATATTCTCCCAAAGTTTGGTTTTTGGTCAAAAACCATACATATCCATCTTCAAATATTATATGTGCAGTTTATATTATAATTATTCCACCACAATGCACACAAAGATGGAGCCTTCATAAGAGGTTAGAAATATATGTTAAATATTGAATTTCTAATTTTTGAAATTATTGATGTAGGATTAACTACTCGATGAACAGATCTTATTAGTTTGACGAGTTAGTTACTCTCAAAAAGGATATATTAACTGCTCGGTTAGCTAATCATTATTTTAGCGAGTTAGTTATTCCAACATCAGGGGAAGAAGTTAAAACAGCGTATTTATGAATCATATGGACAGTATCATTATCTCATGATGATCCTCGATAATATGAACATGAAGTTCAAGAGATAATGTTTAAGACCAGATGTTTAACTGACCGAATGTGTAAATATATCTTATGTAAAAACCTGTCATTTCGATAATGTGTCCCTGAAGGACTATCTATCACTATTATTTACTTGAATGTCTATTTGATGAGTGGTAGAACCATCTATTCCGATGATAAAAATACTCGTATATGACAAGGTTTATATCTATAGAGATGAAAAATAAGAGCGATCATAATTCATAAGAATTTTGAACTGGAAAAGTTTCCTATTACGGTGAATTAACTTCCAGAAGAAGTCTATGAATACTTGAGAAACTTAATGATTGTGAGACCTCATTACCAAAGAACATGGAATCAATTAGCAATAAAATGTCGAGATGAAAATTGCTTATGTTGCAACAGTAAAATAAATGAAAATGAGGATCATGAAATGAAAGTCTGTTGTAGATGCAAACATTAAACTTATATGCCACAACTAATGAAAAAATGCAATACACACTTGACGATGTGTACTTAGAATTGAAATTGCTTGCAAACTAGAAGTTTGACAAGTGATATGCCGGCTAGATTTTGGCGGGTGAATGTGCAAAAGATTATCGAGCAACCTCTTTGTTGCATAAGTTTTTCCAAAATCGGTTTATCTTGTGGTGGATGAAAAGGAAAATCTTCCGTTATTTGCTAATCGGGCAGCAAATGAAGATAAGAAATGTGTCCCTTGAATATAGTGATCACTTAATACGTGATACTTGATATTTAATAATAACGTTTATATGAAATCCCCGAACGGTTAAAAAAGGGACATGATTCCTAATTCTCGAGAAATTAATTCAAAAGACTTGCGTAATTTATAGTCTTTTTATGTGTCTAGATAAATATTTAGGTTCATATTTTTGAATATAATACATATAATTATTTATGCATTTATTATATATTTGGATATATCATGTTTGTCGATCATGTGATTGTTTGTGATTTTCTCTGAGCTTAAATGATCATATTCGCATGATAATATGTTGTGATGTTTTGTAATTTGGTTAGTAACAAACTTTTGTAGAGTTTCAAAAGGCTGAATATTATCGAAACTTATCACGAAATTCGAATAGCCTGAATATAAATAAAACTCCTGAAGAGTTATATCATAGTTATGAACACTTCTAAGGAAGTTCAAAAGGTTGCTACTTGCGTGAATAAAGGATAATGAAAGATCTTGAGTAGAATCTCAGTCTAAATAGTTTGGCTTTTGTATATTCAATACCCATTGAGCGCACTTGAATAAAATCTTGATGTGCATATAGATCCTTCTTCTTGACTTTTTATTAATGATGTAGACCGATTTGGTCCTGAAGTACCATATAAAGTTTCAGTTTATCTAATCAATTAGTCAAAACTTGGATGTTGTATATTGATACCTTCAAGATATGATGGTCATGCATCTCCATTATTATAAAATACTTAAGATTATACATGTATATGAAAATAACCGTCTACGTGAGAAGTCGAAGTAATCTGTCTATTATTGACTTAAACAATCATGAACCTGGTCAATAGCTTGGCATGCAATGAGAAGATTACAAGTGGCGTATTTAACAAGGAGGTAAACCACGCTGTACTCTTTTTCCCTTGATCGAGGTTTTGTCCCAATGGGTTTTCCTGATAAGGTTTTTAACAAGGCAGCATCACATTTGGAAGTGTACTCTTTTTCCTTCACTATGATTTTATCTCAAAGGGTTTTTCCTAGTAAGGTTTTAACGAGGCATTATTCAACAAAGGTGGACATTTAAAGGGGGAGTGTTGTGAAATATTTGATTTGATTTGATTGAATGTCCACAATTAAGATGTATTATTCTATTCACAATCAAGAAGATAATTATGTAATATTTAGCATTAATGATAGGTGATTCATTTCCCACAGTTTGATCCCCTACTTCTTGTATAAATATGGAGCTCATTCATGCTTCAAAATACATCTGAATACAAGTCTCTTATCTCTCCATACTCTCTCGTCTCTCCTCTTTGTTCTTATACTTAGTCTCATATTAGTAGTCTAACATTAATTTTACAACATTGTTATTATTATTAAGCACACGAGTCATGAGTGAGTTAAAAAACAATTAAAAAAATCAATACCCACGAATAAAAATTAAATACATAAATTATAACCGAATTTGTGTCAGGATCCCATGAATACAATTGTACACCTAAATTCTAATTGAAAGACTAGAAAATGAGCATTGGGAAAAGGAAAATATGTTCACCTAAATTATAACTGAAAGACTAGAAAATGAGCATTGGGGAAAGGAGAATAAACCTACACTTCTGGGTATACGAAAAATAGTATCGTGGTTTCACAAACCAATCCTTATTCAACAATTTTTTGATAATACGGGATGATCTCTATTTGAACGTCCAAGTCGTCACCCTGATCCTCCCAATCTTGGAATATCCGTTTAAACAATACCATGAGAGTTATAGTTATTGTCTTACTGAACAATACTTTCTTATTAGTTTAATACTATTTCTGATCTTTATTACAAGTCATTTTGGTTCCATTAAGTTTTACCTAATATGTTCTTGCAATTGAAAAAAAAACTTTTAAAAATATTTTCTAATAATTCAAAGAACACTATGAAAATGAAAATGTATTTTTAAAATTTCTTTTTTCAATTGAAAAACATATTAGGTAAAATTTAAGACATTTTAAAATTCCTTATAATAAGGACCGGGAGGAGTAATAGTAGAGTTTCAAAATTTAACATATTATAATATTTTAATAGTAACTTTTATTTATTTTGTCATAATTTTGACCGTTTAATTATTAATTTAATGATACGGGGGTTACATCAATCCATTCATCGAAACCTATTAGCTGGGTATTTTCTCATCTCCTGATCTCATGCCAATTAATTACTTTCTTCTTTCTCTTTCTAAACTTATTAGCTGTTGTTTTCATTTCTTTGTAAATCTTTTTTCTCCTTCTTCAAAACCTAAAAAAAGAAGAAAAAAAACCAACAACTAGGGCGTTCTACTTACTAATGTTTACTTCATCATGGAAAAGTTTGATTGCATCCAATTCACTCCTATTCTTTACTCCTGACCTTTCCCGTAAATCCTTAATCATGCTTCTTGGAATACTATTTTTTTTCCCTTCATATACAAAGTAGAGTGAGTTTTTCTCCTCTTTTTCTATCTCAATCAAACAGAGTGGGAGTATATATTTATTCTCTCAATGTAAAAGAAAGTGGTTTTTGTTTTCCTTAGAATTGGGATTTGAACCTCCATTAATGTTCTTTTAATAAACTGTGTAAGCTCTTTGTCTCATGTTGTTCAAAATTGATGTCTAATTTGGTTGTTGGAGGGGCAAAGAAAATTCTGGTTCGAATGTTATTGGGATTTGTTCCATGAACAACAAGTGTTTGATAAATCTCTGAGTTACTATTTCTTGAATTTTTTTGGTTTAATTTGCATACTTAGAATTGATTTATATGATCTTATAACCATGTACACCAGCTTTAGAGTAGGAAAAAAAGTTCGTAAAGTTGTTGAGTGGGAGAGTTTGTGAAGAAAATAAATGAATATTTGAGAGTCATCAAGGGAGGTAATTATTTTTCAATTTTTTTAAAAAGAAATTAATTAGCACCGTGGAATCAAAGGAGATGAGAGGATAGCTAGTTGACTAATATAAGGGCAATTTTGTTAAAATTATAAAAGTTTGTTTTGGATGCTACAACTATTTTGGCAGAATCGCAAGCCTTGAAATATACTTCCTCCGTCCCATAATTATTGTCCTGTTTGACTAAAATGAAAGATTTTATTTTTAGTCAAAGTTAACTATATTTTGACCGAATATACCCCTGCATAATTGTCTTCTCTTTTCTCATATTAGCACCCAAATTTAAAACCAACCCCAATTCATTCTTCTTCTTCACCGGATATATCCCTGCCACGAATATTCAATCAAAACTTAAGAATAATAATTGAAGAAAATATAGAGTTTCATCCTTCTTCTTCATCGGGAGTAATGAATCTGAATTCTATTAATGAAAGCATAAATCACATTGGAAAATACAACTCCACATCAAGCCCTTCGACCATCACAAGACATCCATGTCGCAAATCTACACCGGCACCGTCCATTCGGCTGACAGATCGGGGGCAGGCGACGGTGTTTTCAACATCGGAGGAGTTATTGGTGGAGGCAGCCGGTGAATTTGCAAAGTACTTGTTGATTTGTTGTTACCCAACAAAGCTTTTGAATCGATGGCAGAGTGCGTCGGCGGAGAATCACTTTGAGTACCAAAAGGTTGGAGATGATGACAAAGTGCGTCGGTCAAGCAGGTGCGAATTGAGTACCAAAAGGTTATCTGAGATTTATTGCCGGCTCGTTCAAAGCTCCGGGGAGTTCTTCCGATTTAAAGCTCCGGTTTTAGTGATTTTTTTACTAAAGGGTAAATGAGTAACTTACTCCATAAAAAAGTCAAATTGGACAATAATTTTGGGACAAAATTTTTTTTGGCAAAGTGGACAATAATTATGGGACGGAGGGAGTATATTCTTTTTGGGAAATCAAATCAAAAGCTTGCCAAGTGAAAATTCTGTTACTACTTAATACATACCAGGCTGGCAGCCCTATTAGTCCCGACCCGGCCCGATTTGGTCCTCCAACGTTACATTTCCGACCGAGTTTCCGACTCCATTCGATTCTTCTCTTCATTACACACGCACCCTGCAAATCTCCATTCTTTGCTTATTAGCTGCACGCCAAAGTTGTACCCACTAAAAATTTAACCAAATTATATTCACAAAATTAGATTTTTCCGAAGGGTTTTGGACTGATCAATGGAGGTTGAACTGGAGGAGGTTTTGAAGGATCTCAATTCCTTGCGGAGTTCATTGCCGGATCCTTCTATCCAAGAACGTATTGATAAAGTAATGCACTCTTTTTCACTGTTCCTTTTGTTTTTTTTCCCATTTTCCTTACAATTCAGGTGGAGGGTTTTGATGCTGAATTCTAGTTTGTGTTATGCTAAAAGTCAAAGCTTTGATCAGCGTGAATTCGAGATTAGATGGGAATTTTGAGAATGATAGAATTTAATGATTTTTTTGCAAATTTTGGTTGAAGCTAGTACAAATGGGATGTAAGTACTTATCTGGGATTTTTTAGGGTGAATTGGAGGGTGGGTTTTTCCAAAACCTTGTAAATGAGTACGGCATTTTTCTTGGTTTTGCTTTTCTTTTAAATTTCACATTTGCTTTGCTGTGGAACCTTTTAATTTCTACAGTTAGCTTTGATTGCACAAGCGTGTTAAGTCTAGTATATGTTGTTTTTGCATGTAATGATGTAAATGTAGCTTACATAATTTTTTCTTTTTTCTTTGTTTGTTTATTTTAGATGCGATCTCGGATTGAGAACCTCTCGAATCTTGCAACGTCAGTCCCTATACATCGTTCAAAAGTCAAGGTGGAAAATGTTTTTTTCTATGATTTGGATGATTGTTACATTGCATTGAAGGTTGACACATGGGCGCTGTTTCTTATCTGCACAGGATATGAGTGCTGAAGTAGTTGATAGCAACCCTTATAGTAGGCTTATGGCTCTTCAGAGGATGGGCATTGTGGAAAATTATGAAAGAATTAGGAAGTTTTCCGTTGCCATTGTGGTAAGTGTTCTATGACTTCCGTTTCGTGCATATTTGATGTTTGTAGATCTTCGGCTGTTTGTGCTAAGCTGCCATATGTGCTTGAGGAGATCATCAGACCTGTGCTACCATACAGTTTCATCTAGGATTTCCTTTTTCCAAACCATCTGCAGATGCGAATTTTGTCTTGCGTTTTTATCTACCATTTGATGAAAAATTTCATCCCAATGGTTTAGTGTTTTGTTGTGGATAGTTACTATGGTACATTGGCAATTCGTGGTTTCTCTTCATGAACATGATTTTCCGTGGCTTGATTGGAACCTTTGTTTATCAGTTGATCTTGTATATCTTGGTTAGTTTGTAAGGTATTCTTTCTATTAACTGATAGCATATTACAAAGATGAAATCAGATACTGGCTTTAAGATTCATTGTTTATTTACAGGGTATAGGTGGTGTTGGCAGCGTAGCTGCTGAAATGCTGACTAGGTGTGGTATTGGCCGCCTGTTGTTGTATGATTATGACAAAGTGGAGCTAGCTAACATGAATAGGCTGTTCTTTCGTCCAGAACAGGTTTTCTTTTTGATTCTTTTTTGTTCTTTAATCCCTTTTTGTGGCTGAACTGGAAAACTGATTACAAGTAAACCACAAAGAGGGAAGAAATTTTTTTGACCTAAATTTCTTGTTATCAAAATGAGTAACAGTTTACTTTGGTCTTATCAGGTAGGAATGACAAAGACAGAAGCTGCCGTCCAAACACTTTCTGATATCAACCCGGATGTTGTGTTTGAGGTAGAAATTTTATGCGTTGTTGTCATATTTACTTGAATAATTGTCGTTTAGCCGGTTTCTTCTGATCTTCTAATGATCTGCCTTTCCACTTGGATGCTTGCGTTGCATGCTATATAGTCTCATTGCATCTTGTGGGTTTATTGTTGTGTATGTTTCCATATTAGTCGGCGGTACTAACTGTTTCCATTTATTTCAGAACTACACGCTGAATATTACAACTGTCCAAGGCTTTGAGACATTTATGTCAAGTCTGAAAAATAAGTCATTCGACCCTAACAAAGAAGGCAGTGGAGTTGATCTTGTTTTAAGTTGCGTAGATAATTATGAAGCAAGGATGGTTGTAAATCAGGCAAGGCAGTTGTGGTCTCTATTAGTATTTTAGTCATGTTTGCTTCACTTTCTTCGATTTTTCCTCCTTTAAAGTTGATGATCTTGTAGTTCAACGTATCTGCTAACTTTGTTATACTATTTGTTTCAGGCTTGCAATGAACTTAATCAAACTTGGATGGAATCTGGTAAATGGGTTAGCTTATTGCGTTATTCATTGCCACAATTCCTTCTTCATTCTTTTTTTTCCTGGATTTGTGCGTGCACATCGACGTCGCCCCATCATCTTTAGAATCTTTGTTAGCCAAACTAGAATGTTGATGGAAAACGTGTGCTTACAACGATTGAGTTTTGCAGGCTGCTAAATGAAGTATGCTTTATTTGAACATAGTCTAAAAATGCATTTGTTTGGTTTGTTTGACTGTGTGGCTGAATTTTATATTTGCTTGCAAACTTGATTGAATTATTGGTGTGAATGGTATATAAACACTTGAAATGTTATGGTGGTCTTACAGTATTTTTTTCTTGTGCAGGTGTATCTGAGAATGCTGTTTCTGGCCACATACAGTTGCTTGTTCCTGGAGAAACTGCATGCTTTGCATGTGCACCTCCATTAGTAATTTCTTTGATCAAGCTATATTGTATTTTGACTCCAAGATCTTCCTTTTAGAATCATTGCAGTATCCATATTTAATTTTTTCTTTTATTCCCACTGATGCTATAGGAAAAAGTATTTCTTGTAATTATGTGTGGAAATATGGTTTCATTACTGCAGACTCCTGTTGATCTTTTGCTTGCTTGTGGATTTTCTTGTTATTTATCCTGTATCCTTTCATACGCTATCTATTAGCAGAAGCAGTAGATAACTGTTAGTGATCTTTTTGTTAGGTGGTGGCTTCCGGTGTTGATGAACGGACACTAAAGCGGGAAGGAGTATGTGCTGCATCTCTACCTACCACTATGGTGAGACAAGTTTTCTTTCTTATTAGTTTACATTGAATACTTTCTGGCTCTTTGTAATCTAAATCCTTTGACAAGGTGAAGTAATCTTCTTAAATTAGGCGGTAAACGATTTTGAATATTTTAAGACTGGCTAACCTTTTCTTCTTTGTCATCTTTTTTCTCTTATTTTTTGGGGTTAGCCAATAATGTCATATTAATTCAGCTTTTTTAAAGATTATAATTATAACAGCATCCTTGTACTTCATTTGTTGATTTTTTTTCTCTTTATTGTATCACTATTCTTCTAAAAGGAATGATCAAGCCCTAAGGGACCTATGAAAATCTCTTTTTATTTATTCCTATTAACTCAAAAGAAGGGAAAACAAAAAAATAAAATAGTAAAGGGGAAGACATAAAATTCATGGAATGAAACATTTATAAATGCCACAAAGCATTTAAACTTGAAAAGAAAATATGAACATAGGCCGATTACGATGGTAACAAATGATCCATGTAGCCGCATTGTGGGACGAAGACATTGTTGTTGTTATCTTGCAACTGTATCCCGTCATAATTTGCCGTCTTTGTCGATATATTGACTAAGGGCCTCTCAACTGTTACTTAAATTTGTACTGTGCTGGTCTGTTGAATCAGGTCGTTCTACCCTTTTTTTGAATGCTAAAGTTTGTAGGCTATTGTGTTTTCAAAGAATTACACGAGAAGTAAAGTCTCTATTGATTATTTCTTCTTTTTCTTCCTTTGATGTCCGGTCTCATTGATTTGGCCTGCAGGGTGTTGTTGCCGGCCTTCTTGTTCAAAACACCCTCAAATATTTGTTAAACTTTGGGCAAGTGACCCCCTATTTGGTAAGTTTCATTTACTTCCTTTCTAGTTACAAAGAAACTGAGGAAATGAACATGAAGTATCATTGATGTACGTCAATTGATGTCAGGGTTACAATGCCCTGAAAGATTTTTTCCCAACGATGGAAATGAAGCCTAATCCTCAGTGTTCTAACTCAGCTTGTTTGGAAAGACAGGTAAATCTTTTGTGTTGGAGTGCAGAAATTATTTTCGTGTGAATTTTCTTTCTTGTAATATATCTGCGCAATGATATTTGAGCTAATGGCTTCTTAATCGCAGAGAGAATACATGCTTACTAAGCCTGCCAGGGACGCTGCTGCTAGGGAAAAGATGGAAGCAGAAGCACTGTCTGCAACAGAATGCCCCATCCATGCGGAAAATGAATGGAACATAAGGTAAGATCCACCCAGAATTCGTTGCTCGCTCAAAATTTGGGAATAGCTATATTATCATCGTTTGCCAAATAATTTAAAGATTTGCTTTCTGTTGATTTCTCCTTAATATGTTGTGGCATTTACTAGTTAGATAGAAGTCTTTATTTTGCTGTTGGCCATTTTATTGAATCGTGTTCTGTCTTCTGTTTGCGCTGTCAGTGTTGTTGATGATAGTGAAGTGTCTGGCTCAGACGTGGGAAGTTCAGGTAATTCTTTTCCTCCTTGCATGATGTCATTTGGTTGATTTCTGTTCCATTTACTTTTTGACCATCTACCTGGGATTATTTTATATGAATTTGTTAAATCTTCACTGAACCATATATATATATGTATGTATATATAGAAACCACCATAGAAGAAATCTTGCAAAAGGAAAAAACTAACATAAATTCGGTAATATTCAGCTGAAGCAAGTATTCAAAATACCTCTGCTCATCTTTTGGAATGGGAAACCCATTGTGTAGTGATGGACTATTTAAGTCTTTCTCATGAGTAAATATGCTTGAGGTTTAACTAGCTATTCTGATTTGATCCGTTATTAATTCACTCATCAACTTTCTACCGTGCAATACGGTGCTTGTGTTTGGTATCTGACATACAGATGGAACATTGCAGTATTTTTTGTCTTATGGAATTTTCCATATTTAAACAATCTTCTTAGGCTCATTTGAGAATTAGGAATATCAACACTCGATGCGAAGACTGGTAGTTTTTGTATGAAATTACCAGTCACTTTTATGACCCAGATTTTGAGGTTCGCCAGAAAGTACGGTGGCTCTAACCTTGACTTTTATGATTCTTCTCTCAAAATTTTAAGCAAAGAATAAGTTGATAGGAGGGAGAATGGCAGAAACACTTGCATGGCCTTCAATTTGTGGGCTTGGGTTTCTGTACGGGGTAGAGTGAAGCATTTCATGAATATTGAAGCAAAAACTTCCTGCAATATGGCTCTATAAAGCTTAGTGAATAAGTTTGCCTTACTATTTATGATGATATTCCGTGGAGTGCATATCCCCTTAGTTTTTTGATGAGTGTAAGAGTCTTGTGAGTAGACATCCAAACTTAAAGCCGCTGTTGTCCATCTTCTGATTTTCAGTAAAGTTGGTAGAGTTTTTAAGTTCATCTTTTTCTTTCTTTGTCTTGGCTTGAGGCATTAACCAGATTGCTTCTCTTTCGCAATTTTACTACTGCTAATCCATTGCTCATCTGCACCTGCATGCTCTCAAATACTGAAAGTGATGTTGTCCCTTTTGTAGCTTTTCTTTCTTTTCAAGAATGCCAAATTGATACACATTACATAGAGAAGTTCAATAACTTTTATTTCCTCACTTTACCATTCAGAAACTTTTGTTTTTATTTTGCTGTCTAAAACGCCCGAGGCTTGGCAATTTGCTGGATCACTTTTCTCAGGTGTGCTCCCTGAAGGCCTTACACGCGAATTGCCAACTGCAGATGTCTATACTGATCTCCCAGCCTCAGACGAGACTAGCACATTTGATGATCTAGAAGAACTTAGAAAGCAACTTGAAGCCCTCAGTTCTTAATCTAGTGTGAGAAAATTTTGCAATACTGTATGTTCAATACATCTTCTTAAGCCATACAAATTTGACATGGGTTCTACATCTGGGGTGTTGCTAGGTTCCTATAAGCTAGAGTTTAGACTTAATCCGGACTAGAGAGCTCTGATTGTTATAGAGTAGCATTGAGTGTATTTTAAAGGACGATGAATAGCCAGAAATTTGGCTTTCCATTTCAATATTTGTGGTATTGTATGAATTGTCAGGATGACAATTGAACATTGTTGTATGAGTCAGAAAGTTCAAAAAGTTTCAACAAAGTAAAACTCTGGCAGCACTTTTACTGTGTACGATGAAAGGGAGCTGTCATTTTGAGCTCAACAGAAAATTTCTTGGAATTCCTTTGCTTTATTTTATTATCCTTAGTTTGCCTTGTTGTAAATTTGCTTTCTTTTCTTTGCTCAGAATGCTTTCGCACATAGGGATGATATAACTTGGGTAACTGAACCCTTGAATTGACTTGTTATTGTAGATGGCACGAGGTCAAAGAATCTTGAGATTCGTTTTGTAGATTATTTGTAATCTATTGGTTCCCAATTAATTGTCTTGGTTGCTGACCTGAGGGGAGGAATCCTTTCTCCAAATCTCGTCAACTTTTCCAGTTTTTGCTATTCTTACGAAATTGATAAATAGTATGATTGCTTAATTGCCTAAAATGGATGCAACAATTCCTTCAGTGTTTGCATAAGAACTTCCTCCTTCGCGCACTGCTTCCTTAGCCAACTGCTTCCATTTTACAGCATTGTTCTTGAGCTCTATTGATCTGTCTCCAACAATGGCTTCTTTTATTCCCGTTTCCACCTCTCCCCTTTTAACTATTCCATCTTCACCACTCAAAAGCCTCACCCCCGTTTGCCAAACATCAACAATTAGCTTTGCATTTGTCGGTTGATCGCTCAACTGTGGCATAACCACCATTGGCACTCCCAAACTCAATGCTTCAAGAGTAGAATTCCAACCACAATGTGTCAAGAAACACCCCACAGCATCATGAGCCAAAACTTCAAGTTGAGGGCACCAGTTCACAATTAGTCCTTTTCCGGCCAACTCGGACGCGAAATTTCTTGGCAGTTTGCTCTCCTCTGAAGCTCGAACTACCCACAAGAAGTCGCATTGGCTGTTTACTAGACCCCATGCTAGTTCTGTCATTTGCTCATCACCAAGACTCGCCAAGCTTCCGAATGATGCGTAGACCACTGTGCCACTTGATTTCTTGTCTAGCCATTGCTTGCAAGCTTGAGTTTCAGGCTTGAAGAGGGTAATACCATAATCTTTGTCATCCTCCATCCGTTTGTCAAGGTACATAGATGGAATAGATGGTCCAATTGTTTTGACATTTGGGTAGTGGCTCACCATCCAGCTCACTATCTAATAGATTTAAGCCGAAAATTAGCAATAACTATAATCAAGAAGGAAATTAATCTGTCATACAGCAAAGCATAGTTGAATGTAATCCAGCAATTAGTCCACTGCAACTTGTAATATAAAGCCTGCTGCACATGTTTGAGAAGAAGAAGAACAATAAACACAGTGAAAAAATCACTTCTAAAAGGTGAAATATGAGGGTATGTATGTGTCTTTTCATGTATTCTATGTCAGTCGCTGAACCATTTCATTGTTACTTCACAAGTTTAGATTCTGTCATTTGAAATTAGTGTATGTAATTAGTCGTACTTTCACTCACCTGAGGCTCTAGTGTGTCAAAAGTGTTGATCAAGAGGCAATCAGCTTTGTGAAAGTTCAAACTTTGATCGAGGATAAACCTCAGAATAGATGCATATGCTCCAGTACTGTCATTCACAAAAGAAGGCATATCTTGCTGCTTGAATATGGATGGCACCAAAGGCAGTGATCCTGTTATTGATTCTCCTTGCAAAGGTAATCGAAGTGTCCCTTCATGTAGATGATAAAATATAGCAGAAACTATAGCTGACTGAGTAAAAAATGCAGCTCCTTGAATTCCAAGTTCTTTTGCAACATCATAAGCATAATGCACGAGTGAATCATAAACAACAACTTTCACAGGCTCACCAGAGGAGGCTTTCCCCTCCAAGATCAAAGGCAGATGTTCCAAAACTTTCACCTTCAAACTCTGAATCCTTGCTTCATGGGCATCCTGATTTTGGGCTGAATTTTCAGGTACTTCTTTTTCTTTGATTCTTTCAGGGATGCACTCAAATTTGATCAGTTCGGATTCATTACCTGCTAGAGAAGTAGTCTCTATTGGATTTGTGAAGACTACTGTGACTTTGATACCTTTGGAAGCTATGAGCTTGGAAAATTGTAGCAGAGGGTTAATGTGGCCTTGTACAGGCAAAATGAGGACTAGAACATGAGTTTTGGTAGCCATTTTAGTCATGCAACCATCAATTTTGCACCAGTTGATCAAATACCAATTTTCATGACACAATCATTGATCTGATAATCATGATATCAAATTGTCAAATAATAGCTAGTGGATCAATCATCAACCTGCACTAAGATATTTTATGATTAGAAATGTACTAGGCCACCATGGCTCCACATGAACTATGGATGCGGGCCAAAACGGCTAGCATACCAACGAAAGTTGACAGTGATGCAAATGTCCCTTTCACCGTTCCCGTAATTTCTTTGCTTATTTTTTTGGTTTTTGATAATTTGATTTGTTGCCAAAATTTTGTCTACCTCCGTATTGTGGATTCTACACCTTATTTATGTTTTAGACAAGACGTAGATTTGTGTAGTTTTCTATATTGTTTTTTGCAGCTCAGAATGTCACATCTTTGCCGAATTGTGCGGCATTTTTTTGTACATTTTTCTGTTACCAATAAAATTAGGAGAATGCTTAGCAAGCAGAGTCTAGGATTCTTTGGGGGAGGGGAACCCAATAACGTGTGTAACAGAACAGAAAAACAGGTGAACAAAAATCCTGATAACAGTGATTTCCTCTTCTTTTTGAACAGGGAAAACTGAGATAAACTACCTGTGTTATGATTTTGTTGTGAGTATTTTTCTTGCTACAAATCTTGTTATCTTTCCATTCCTGTGATCTTGACAAAAATGATTAGTTAATTAACTGGCTAAAATGGATGCAACAAACTGTTCAATGTTTGCATAAGAACTTCCTCCTTCACTCATTGCCTCAGACAAATCCTTCCATTTTGAAGCATTTTTTTTAAAGCTTAGTTGCTCTGTCTCCAGGAATGGCTTCTCTACTTCCAAGCTCCACTTCTTCTCTTCTCACTATTCCATCATCACTGGTCTTAAGTTCCATCCCAATTTTCTAAACATCAGCCATTAAAACTTCGCATTCAGTTGTGGCATAACCACCATTGGCACTCCCAAACTCAATGCTTCAAGAGTTGAATTCCAACCACAGTGAGTCAAGAAACAACCTACAGCATCATGAGCCAAAACTTCAAGTTGAGGGCACCAGTTCACTATTGATTCTTTTTCTCCGACCTGGGATGCGAAATTTTTAGGCAATTTGCTCTGCTCAGAAGCTCGAACTACCTACAAAAACCAGCATTAACTCTTTGCTAGTCCGCGCGCTATTTGATGAGTCCATATCCACCGAGGATCCGGACCGACCCATCTACCAATTATGGTCCAATCGACTTTACAGAGGCAGTTCTAAAACATGAAACCTAATGAGATTTGGCATGCCTCAAGGTAATTCCATGCCTATAAATAGGTTCGATCACACCACAATACGGGTACGCTATCTTTAGCACAAAACGCTATTCATATACGTTCCTTAAACCCTTTTACTGACCTAAGCCTTAGAGTGTCTACCCTCAGAAGACCCCCGAGACCCTCTTTTGCAGGAAACCCTAGCCGGAGTTCCGCTGTCAAGCCGGCGATACTATTCCAGACTTCGTCAAGTGGCACGTCCAGTGGGACTCGAAAACTAGGGTTTGTGTCACGAAAACCTTCTCAGGTTTCCCTAATCTTCTACCGGTGCAATTTAGGGTTTCTGGAACCATCTGCACAATGGCTAGGGTTAAAGAGAACGAGAACAACATGGTGCCTTTGGGTAGGCGACACAGCCCAGCCGACAACACTACCCTGGCAGAGTTCAAAAGAAGACAGGAGAGGAAAAAGGCAGGAAGAAGCCATGAAAAAGGGCACGAAAAGGAACTAAAGAAAGAACTTTTGGTCCTTGGCTCCTCCTAGCCCAATCCAAAGATACAAGACAATACCAATCCAGCGACGAAAAAGGAAGATTTGCGTCCACCTCGAAATACCGCAGCATCCAAGAAAGGTTTGGAGGATCAAAATTAGGCCAAGATCGAGGCCGAACTCAAGAAGCTGCACGATGACAGCGATTTTAATCAAAGGATGAAAAAATATGTCCTGGAGGAGTCCAAACATCGCTGTCTCCTTGGACAACCTGATCCAACTGATCAAGAATTGGTTGACCTGATCGACGAGAAGGAGGCCCGTCGCACCTTAGACCTTCTCGAGGCAAGACGAGATACGCGAAAAGTCCAAGAAGAGGAGGATTATCAAGAGTTCTCGGATCGAGAAGGCTTCCTGGAAGATCATTCAACTGCCACACGAGACACTGTCTACTGGAACGCTTTCAGGAAGAAATACCCAGGCTTCAATATGGCTCTTGAAGAGTTTGATGCAATATACAAACTCGAGGGTCCTCGAGATCACTACCAACGGAGATCCTCAAGCGTCGAATTCTTGGGAGAAGGAGATTGGAATCCCCCAAGAAAGACCAATGTGCACGACCAATTGGGACCTAATTGGCGTCGAGAAAGTCCCTAAAGGGAGGATTACAGACCTTTCCATAGGCAGTCTTGAGAGAACAATAACGCTGGAAGAGAATACAGATGGGGGAATAACCATTATCCTCAATACTTACCACCCAGGTGCCAACAGCCTAACCTTCACGAGGAGCTACCACCTTACCCTCCTCGAAATCAATAGGCGATAAGGGGGCAGAATGTGTCAATTTGAGAAGAGATGAGAAGGATCATTGGAATGGCTGTGGACCGTAGCCCTTTTATATCGGAAATTCAAGATGAGCCGAAGCCCCAGGACTTTGACTTTCCCAAGGATTTCACAAAATACTCGAGAGATACTGATCTCTCCCAGTGGCTACAGGGATATGTCCATATCATGAGAATCAGGAATGCACCGTTAAACTTCATGGCTAAGGCCTTGCCTTCCTATTTGATCGCGCAAGCGCAAGGGTGGTTTGAACAGTTACCGGAAGGAAGTACAATCAGTTTTGAAGACTTTTCCATCAAATTAGCCACCCATTTCTTCCAAAGTAAACAGATCACCAGGATGTCCATTGATCTCTCCACGATCAAGGTCAACACAAAAGTCTCTCAGATTTCTATCGGTGTTTCATCCGAAAAATCCTAAAAAATTGACAACATAAACGAACGAGACGTTCATAATGGGTTCATCCAAGGGCCTAATCCGTTTGGGAAGTCCTCGATGCTAAGGGTAAAGCTCTTGACTAAACCTCCTAGAAATTCCCAGGAGATGTGGGCTATTGTCGAGAATCACATTCAAAGAGAGCATACACTCAAGCGATCACAAGAGTCTTTTACAACAATCGGGATGAGGGTCAAGCCCAAAGTTGCCATGGAAAACAGGACAAGGTTTCCTAAGCTTGATAGGCAGTTGACCCCTCTAACCAAACCTCGTTGCGAAATTCTTCAGATCCACAAAGATGAGCTGCCAACCCCAAAATCCTTGGCTCCTAATCCAAACAGGTTGACAGAGCAATACTGCGAGTACCACAAAGACCATGGGCATGACACCAAGGAGTGTCGAGAATTCAAAAGGGAGATCGAGAATGGAGTTAAGTCCGGGAAATTTCAGCAATATGTGCAAGGATCTTCTCGACAAAGAAGCAATAAGTTTGTTGTGTCCCGAAACTTTCCAAGACAAAGTTTTTAGGGTCCTCGAGGAGAAAATCAAGAAAATAATTGGCAACCAAGGAACAATGCATAACAAGCTCCCCAACAAGCCATTGAAGGAGCACCACAAACGCTTTAGCATGTTCCTCCAGCAGATCCTACCAAACAAATCACTCATCTGGTGGGAGCAATTTGTGGAGCCTCTCTCGAGGTCTTGTCAACTACAACCATGAAAAACTCGGTACGGACCGTTACCAAGACTCCTCCCCAAAAACCGAGCATAAAGAGATTCAAATGGACAGAGGCCATAGTCTTTACCGACAGTGACGTGGTTCCTGATATTTGACCCCACAGTGACGCCATAGTCATCGAAGCGATAATCAGGAGCGTGCAAGTAAGTCGGGTTTATGTGGTAGTGCAGTCGACATCATATACAACGATTGCTTCAAGAGGATGAACATCCAATACCCCGATATCCGCCCATGAACATTACCATTGATGAGCTTCTTAGATCATACTATTAGTCCAACGGGAATTATAAGGCTCCCCATCACGGTAGGGTTGCATCCCAGGATGGTTACGCTAACTATGGATTTTGCCTTAATAGATGCACCATCGCCATTCAATGTGATCCTAGGGCAACCATGGATGTGTCAAGCTTGAGCAATTTGGTCTCGTTATCACTTGGTGATGAAATTTTCAATAGAAGACAGAGTAGGAGCGGTGGAAGGATGTCAATACGTATCTCGAGAATGTTTGCTCACAGCAGTTAAGAATGGGAAAAAGACCATGAAGTCTAACACAAGCACTGCCATGTCTGGATGCTACCCGATCCAACAGACAACAACGCACCCGCAGTCAGAGGACCACGATGCTGGCGACCTACTACCACTTAGCAGCAAAACCCAAGAGCTGGTTCTTAACGAGAAGGATCCTTCCAAGACCATCCAGATTGGGATATCTCTTCAAGGAACGTTGCTAGCCGAGGTAATCGCCTTGCTACCCGAGTTTCGCGATATATTCACCTGATCACCTACAGACATGACAGGAGTACCACGAGACGTCGTTGAACATAAGCTGAACATCGATCCCAATGTCAAACCTGTGCAACAAAAGAAAAGAATATTCGCTCGAGATCGCAACGATGTCATCAATGAAGAAGCATTAAAGTTGGTCTGTGCTAACATCCTTCGCGAAATTCTTTGGCCAACCTAGTTAGCTAATCCAGTCCTAGTATGGAAACCTGATAACTCTTGGCGCATGTGTCAAGATTACACAGATCTCAACAAATACTGCCCTAAAGATTGTTATCCCTTACCACTCATAGATCAAATGGTCGAGGGTATCACAGGGTATAGAACCCTCAGCTTCCTCGATGCCTATAAAGGGTACCACCAAATTCCCATGGCACAAGAAGATGCGGAAAAGATAGCTATATTACTGACATTGGGGTATATTGTTATGACAAGATACCTTTTGG